GTGGACTCACAGATTTTGGCAAAAATCAAAGGTGTTCCTCAGCTCCGGGGCTACCTGCGATCCATTTTTGCTCCGACAAATGGAATTTATCCTCATAAATTAGTGTTCTAAATTTCTTACTAAGAACCTAATTAAATACCTGATACATTTTTAAAAAAATAAATAAAGGGGGGCCGGGGATATAGCTCAGCAGCATAAATGCCTGCCTGGTACCAAAATAAAGAGGCTGTGGAGGCTGTAGAAGTAGCTGTGCGGGGAGAGTGCTTGCGCAGGCCCACCAGTCGGGTGAGGGCCTGTTTTCCTCTGAAGAAGCTGCTTCCCTGTGGAGCACCTGCCTGGTGGCACAGGGACCTCTGTGTTTGATTTTAGACAGGCCGATGGTCGCAAAGTGCTGAGGTCGAGCATCCGCGAGTTCCTGTGCAGCGAGGCCATGTTCCACCTGGGGGTCCCCACCACCCGGGCTGGGGCCTGTGTCACATCTGAGTCCACAGTGGTGCGGGACGTGTTCTATGACGGCAACCCAAAGTATGAGAAGTGCACAGTTGTGCTGCGCATAGCTCCCACCTTCATCAGGTAAGGCTGGGCTCGATGCCAGTGTGACCGTGCTGCGTGGGAACAGAGGCTGGGAGATGGAGGTCTAGAGGGTCGGGGTGTCCACAGAGCGCACATGAAAGACACCAACGCCAGGACCGGCCCCTGGCCTCTCAGTATGTCTCAGTATGGCCAGTGAGACAGTTCAGTGGACTGCTTAGTCAAGCACAGGGACCTGGGTTGGTTGGTTGGTTGGTTGGTTGGTTGGTTGGTTGGTTGGTTGGTTGGCTGGCTGGCGGAACCGGGAATTGAACTCAAGCCCTTGCACTTGCCAGGCAAGTGGTTATTCTACTGAGCTATCTCCCCAGCCCCCAGGGACCCAGTTTTGATCCCCAGCACCACATGCCATGCTTGCCCTGCCCTCTAGCACACCAAGCTGGGTACCAAGACCAGGTATGGTGGTGCACGCCTATAATCCTAGCACTGGGGAGGCTGAAAACGGGGATTGCTGTGAGTCCATGCTGTGTAGTGAAACCCTGTACCGAAGAGATTAAATAAAACAAAATAGGATGTCCATACTGTGCACAAGTAGACATCACCCAGGCTAGACCTGCGGTGCAGGAAGTTGCTGCCTCCATTCAGCTCAGGTGTGACCCTAAGCGGTTTCCTAGGAGAGGCTGCCATGCACAACTCAGGACGGTGCACAAGCAGTTGGTGACAAGGAACCACCTAGCAGTGGCCTCAGCAGCATTGTCATAGTGTGCATCAGTGTCCCTGACCCAGGTCTTTCTGGGGCTCCAGGCACCTTGCCTGCCATCCTTTCTGCCTGCTCCTGTCTCTGCTGCCTGGCATCTAACACTTTCAGAACTGTTTCCCTAGGCCCAGAGCAGTCAGGGGGACTGGGCTGGGCTGGGCTGGGCTGGGCTGGGCTGGGCTGGGCTGGGCTGGGCAGTGGCTCACCTATCATGCCAGGCCCACCCTGTGGCATGCCGCGCTCCTCTCTGACTTCTCCTGACTCCTGCAGTGATAGAAGGAGCCAGAATCAAAGCTCACCTCACCCTGGGCTGTCCTTTTCCATACAGCCCTGGTAATGCTGGGTGAAGACGTCCTGCACGTGGGATGATGCATGTACCTGGCTTCTGCCCTTCTGCCAGTGACAACCCTAGTTGCAACTACCAAATATGTCCCTACACACCTGGAGATTCTGAGGCAAAGTTGTCCCATTGAAAACCATGATGATGGGCTGGGGGGATAGCTTGGCAGTGTAAGTGCCTGCCTGGCAAGCGCAAGGACCCAGGTTCAATCCCCAGTACCATATGCCAAACCCACTATGCTGGCCACCCAAACTGGGCATGGTAGCACATGCCTATAATCCCAGTGCTGGGGAAGCTGAGACAGGAGGATCACTAGGAGTCTGAGCTGCATAGCAAAGCCCTGTACCAAATAAATAAAACCACACTGACCACATGCTGGTCCTTACCAGGAGCCCCCATGAGTTCAGGTGCAGGAAATAGACAGTTGTGACAGTTTCTGGGCCCCAGCACCCCATAATTCCTGTCTGGTGGTGGTCACTGTCTACCTGGTGCTGCCTGCTGTGGGCCTCCAGGCCTCCCACAGCTTCTCTGTCTCCTTGTCTTCACAGGGGCTGGGTACATCTGACCTGTTCAACACCTAGGTCTTCTCTCCAGGTTTGGATCCTTTGAGATCTTTAAGCCGGCCGATGAGCAGACAGGGCGTGCGGGCCCCAGCGTGGGGCGGAATGACATCCGAGTCCAGCTGCTTGATTATGTGATCCGCTCTTTCTACCCTGAAATCCAGGCTGCCCATGCCTGTGACACCAACCTTGTGCCAAGGAACGCTGCCTTCTTCAGGGAGGTGGGTGGAGCCCCCATGGCCAGTATGGCCCCCCTGCTTCTGACAGTGGGTCAGGGCTCCTGCCCAGTGGTCCTGCTGGCCCAGGCCCATCACTGCCAGAACCTCACTGGTGGGGCTGGTGAGCACACTGGCCAGATGGCAGTGAGAGGGCCTGGCTGAGGTCGTGAGGCAGTGGCAGGAGGGTCGCAAGAGCGCTGATGGGTGCTGATGCGTCTGGGGGTGGCTCAGACAGGGCAGTGCTCATGCGAGACCTGGTAGCATTGTCTGTCACATCCAGCCTGCAGCTGTCCTGGGCCTCACTTCTGCAAAAGTGGGCTCCAGGGGCGGCGGCAGCAGGGCCAGACGCAGAGCCCTGGCCAAGCTGGCCCACAGACAAGGGCACTGAGCAGGCATCTGGGGCCACACCCTATGCAGCTGCTCCTCGTCCCTGCTGAGGCCCTCACTGTCCCGATGTGGGTGGGACTGCAGGGGCCAGGAGGTGGGCGTGGGGCCTATTCAGCCCCATCTGGGTGCACACTTGTGGCTGTACATGGGCCTATGGCTCTTCGGTGAAGCCCTGCAGCCCGGTCTTGCTCTCAAAGTAACTAGACCTCAGCGCTGTAAGTGCCATGTAGCCGGCGCAAGTAGGGAGCAGTGCTGGTGGCCAGCCTGGCACCCAGCGTGGAACGGGGCTGTGCTGAGGACCCAGGCAGGCCCCCATGAGGTGTCCCCCTGGCCTGGCCTAGGGGGCATGCAGGAGCAAGGACCCCATACCCCCGCTCTGGAGATCTACGGCAAGTGGGGAACCCTAGGAAGAACGGCCTAGCAGCGCTGCTGGTTGGTTGTGCACATGTGGAGTGCTAAACGCTGGTCCCGCCCCAGGTCACACGACGCACAGCCCAGATGGTGGCCGAGTGGCAGTGTGTGGGCTTCTGCCATGGTGTCCTCAACACTGACAATATGAGCATCGTGGGGCTCACCATCGACTATGGGCCCTTTGGCTTCCTGGACAGGCAAGTGGACCAAGGAACAGTAGTGCCACTGCAGCATGGCTTGCGGGGGTGGCGGGGGACGTGCGGAGCCTTGGGACGGGTGAGCACAGCTGCTACACATGCCTTCCAAGGGTTGGGAGCTCAGTAGTGCCAGTTCAGCTCCTGGATCAGAAATGTGCTGGAGGCTCAAGCAAAGCACCATGAGCCATCTTAGCTCACCTACTTCAGGTATTTTGTGGTACTGGGATTGAACCCAGGGACACTGTGTCCCCAGTCCCCACAGCTGTGTCCCCAGCCCTTTACTTTGAAGCAGGGTCTTGCTGAGTCACTCTGTTATGTAGGCTGCTGCCCTGGAACTTGTGATAACTCCTGCCTCAGCTTTCCGCGTAACTGTAGCCACAGGAGCGTGCACCCAGCCTGTATTTGCATTTAGAAAGGGTGAGGTCACAGATGAGTGGAGGAGGGCTGCTGCTCCAGCTCTGGAGGCAGTCAGGGCCACCACGGCCCTTCCCAGCGCTGCAGGATGGCCAGCAGGGTGGTGGCACATCCCAGGGGAACCCCTGCTCTGTGACAGGTATGACCCGGACCACGTGTGCAACGCCTCAGACAGTGCTGGACGCTACACATACGGCAGGCAGCCTGAGGTGTGTAAGTGGAACCTGCAGAAGCTGGCCGAGGCGCTGGAGCCCGAGCTGCCCCTTTCCCTGGGCGAGGCCATCGTGGCCGAGGAGTTCGATGCTGAATTCCAGAAGCATTACCTGCACAAGATGCGCAGGAAGCTGGGCCTCGTGGGGGGTGCGCGGGAGGAGGACGCCGCGCTGGTAGCCAAGCTCCTGGAGACCATGCACCTGACAGGTGAGTGAGGCGGGCGTGCGCTTGGCCTGGGCACCACTGGAAACACGCAGCTCCCTTGTGCACGGGCAGCACTGGGGATTTCAGTTTAAGCCTGAGCTTTAGCTTTAGTCTGGTCTTTGCATCTGACGTCCCTCTGACTCAAAGGCCATCCCCAGCTCATTGTCCGCGTCCCGCGATTACAGGTGTGTGCCGCTACCGCCACCAAGTGTACACATTTTACAGTAACGGCTAGCCTTACCCCACCGTGGGTAGAGAATTACTAACTTGCTCCCACATGCCGCTCTGGCTGGCCAGGTCTCTGGTCCCGCTGGCTGGATACTCGTCGCCGTTTATTGATCTGCTCAGGAGCTGTCTCCTAGCACATCACGGGCTCAACGTCACTACCGCGAATGCCTCCCTTAGTTCTGTGCGTGTGTGCTTTGTGGGTTCCCGGAGACTACCGTTTGGTTCCTGTATTTCCTGTTTATGTTTTTCTGTGGTACTAGAAAACTACCTAGAGCTTTTCATCTTTTGCTATTTGGTACAGGGTCTCCCTGTGCAGCTCAGCCTGGTAGTGACGCTCCTGTTATCAGCCTCCCCAGTGCTAGGCTTACAGGCACGCGGCACTACACCTGGACTTGCGCACCCAAGGGTGGGGCTGGTGCAGCATGTGGTGCTGAGGACCGAGCCCTGGTCCCTGAGCTTGCCTAGGTAGGCGCGCAGCCCGCTTTCACTGGCCCCTGGTGCTGATTATGTTTGGAGTCCAGCCTCAAGTTGCCCTGACTGGGCTCAATTTGTGATCCCCTGCCTCAGTCCTGAGTGCCAGCTGAGGCTTACGTCCTCCGGCCATTTGACCGTCGCTGTGTAATATCCTCGCTCTTCATTTTCCCCTTGTACCTGGGCATGCCAGGGAGTCTGCCACTGTGCAGCCACCTCAGCCTTCTTGGCTGGCATGAGTGTCGCCAATCTTAACTGCAGATTACAGTGAGTGCAATGTCCGCACTGACCTTTGCTTCCTTTCACTTACAACCTGTTTAAAGCATCTCCTAATAGTAGTCTGTAGTTGGACCATGATTTTTTTCTTTCTTTGAAGACAAGAGTCTTATATATTCTAGGTCACCCTGGATGGATCGTGGTTTTGGTTTTTGAGACAGGGCTCGCTTCAGGCTGACCTTGAACCCACATGCTCCTCTTGTTGCAGCCCCCGAGTCCGGGGGATCATAGGCTCACACCACCGTCCAACACAGGGCCGGGCCTTTACCCGCTTCTGCCTGCCTGCCTGCCTGCCTTTTAACTGACAAGGCCCACTCCCTGCTACAGACATCACTGGTTTAGAAGTAGTTGGGCCATTTTGCTGTTTTCCCTAGGTCTCCTCCCTTCTTCTAATCCCTCATTTTCTCTGCTGCTGCTTTGTTTAGCTGAGTTTTTGCAGCACCCTACACGCAGTCTCATCCGCCATACAGGAGGGCTTGCCATGGCTCCACCTGACCGGCAGGTGGTGAGGGCCAGGACCGGCCGCAGCCCCACTCTGCATGAACTGCTTCCAGTGACCTGCAGGTCACAGGCAGGTTCCATACCTACCTCTCTGCCAACTGCACTGTGTTCCAGGGGCTGACTTCACCAACACGTTCTGCTTGCTGAGCTCCTTCCCAGCTGAGCCAGAAGCACCTGGCCTGGACGAGTTCCGGAGTGCACTGGCCTCACAGTGCGCCTCCCTAGAGGAGCTACGGCTTGCCTTTCGGCCCCAGATGGACCCTCGGTGCGTAACAGCCTCCCCTTCTTGGAGTTTTTAGAAAACACTGTGAAGGATCTAAGGCAAGTAGGGCCCGCAGCTGCTCTCAGCGGGGAGCAGTTTGGTCCTGGTGGGCAGTGATGGGTGCAACGAGACAGTGAAACAGCCATGGATGGGTAGTACGAAAGGGCTTTAATGGGGCCGTGCCTACATCGGGCCAACTATTGGGATTCAGGGAAACAGGCTACAGCCAACACCCCTGCGCCCCTCACTGGTCAGCCCCAGCTGACACCCCTGCCCTGCCTGCAGCCAGCTCTCCATGATGTTGGTGCTGGCCCAGTCAAACCCGCAGCTCTTCGCACTTATTGGCACCCAGGCCAATGTCACCAAAGAGCTGGAGCGTGTGGAGCAGCAGTCCCGGCTTCAGCGCCTGACACCCAAGGAGCTGCAGACCCGCAACAATGCACACTGGGACACCTGGCTGCAGGACTACAGGTAAGCTGCCAGGGCCTAGGCACCAGCCCCAGGCCAGGACACGGCCTGACGTGGTCTGGGATGATTCCAGAGCCCGGCTGGACAAGGACAGGGAGGAGGCTGGTGACACAGCTGCCTGGCAAGCAGAGCGCACACGTGTGATGCACAGCAGTAACCCCAAGTACGTCCTGCGGAACTACATTGCACAGAACGCCATCAAGGCTGCTGAAAGCGGGGACTTCTCGGAGGCAAGCACACCCTGGCCCTGTCCCCACCCCCACCTGGGAGAGAGACAGGGTGGCCCGCTGGCCAGAGTCTCACCCCACCTCTCCCCTAGGTGCGGCGGGTGCTAAAGTTGCTGGAGTCTCCTTACAGGCAGGAGGGGGAGCATGCTGAGGCCGCACAGGCTGCAGACCCTGAGGAGGCTGCCACGGCAGCCCACAGGCGGCCATCCTACAGCAGCAAGCCCCCACTCTGGGCAGCAGAGCTGTGTGTCACATGATCCTCATAGCAGCCTCCATACCTGGGAGGCTCTGGAGGACACAAGCACTGCGGAACTGCGGAGCTGCAGCCGCCTCTGAGCTCTCCATGACGGCACAGACGTACAGTCAGGATCTGACCTGTCTCTGTCCGATGCTAGCTCAGCAGTGCTGCTCTGGCCCGGTGGCTGCATGGACAAGGGCCCTGCGAGGACTTGTGTGACAGCCAGGCCACTGCTCTCTCCTTCCCCCAACCTGCGGGTCGGAGGTCAGGCTCCTGAATAAAGCAGCCCTCTCCTGCTCCCAGCCTTGGTCTCTGCATTCCACCCCTTGAGCTCATGCGTCCTGGTAGTAGCTGTTGAAGTTGATGCGCAGCAGGAAGTCCTCCAGATGGGGCTGGTAGCCACGGTTCACCAGCTTGGTCACCACTGGAGGGGACAGGGCAGCTCAGCAGGTGCCCCAGCCACGCCACCCACCACCTGCCTCCAGGAGGCCCACCTTTGAAGAGGAAGTGGGAGTAGTACTTGAAGGTGCTGTAGGACTGCTGCATGAGGGCAAAGTTGGGGTGCTCTGTGTCCTGGGAGCCACTGACCGGGACCCAGGCTTGGGAGATGAGCTGGCTGCGGAACTTGAGCACTAGGCTGAAGATGCTGTGGATGACGTTCATGACGGGCGCCGCCTTCTCTGTCAACAGACCCCTGAGGTAGACAGGGTGTGATGAGCAGCCTACCCAACAGTCAAGGCGCCCTGGCCCCCTGCAGCTGCACCCCACCTAAAGATAGCCTTGTGCAAGTATTCAGCATGGGCGCGCTGGATCTCCTCGAGGTCGCTCACTGTGACCAGCCGGGCCTGGAACTCGCACCAGCTCACATGCAGGATTTGGTTGGCGATGTAGCCCTGGGTGACCTTCACGAAGTGCTGCATCTCATGCTTGAACAGCTGCAGCTGGCGGAACTGCACTGAGCCCGCCGAGTGGCTCACGAGGGCTGTAGAGGGCAGGGCCTGTGAGGAGCGGGGGGGGGGGGGGGGGGGGGGGGGGGGGGGGGGGGGGGGGGGGGGGGGGGGGGGGGGGGAGCGCGGGGGGCAGGTGGGCTGCATGTGGTCTCACCTGTGCGCTTGAGGTGGAAGCAGATGTCCTTGAGTGTCCACATCATGAGCTTCAGCTGCAGCAGGAAGGAGAAGATGGCGCTGTACTTGCTCAGGCAGCTCTCGGTGATAACAATGTTCAGTGGCCAGTCCACCTGCCCAGGAAGCCCGCGTCAGCACCTGGCCACACAGGCCCCGCCAGACCCGAGGGGGGTGTGCTGCTGACCTTGTATCTGAGCTCCAGGCAGCTCAGTACATCCGGCGTGTTGGGGGCAAAGACTTCAGGCAGCTGTTTGAGGGCAAAGGAGAGGCCGGCGGCGTGTGGAGAGTCCCCATGGAGGCTGCACTGCAGAGCCTTGCTCAGGATGCAGTTGAGGGCCAGCGGGCTGAGCAACTCCCCAGGCGACTGCCCAGCTGCCAACTGGCAGGAGAAGAATGTGTCCCAATATCTGCCCTGTGCCCTGCTGTCCCCTCCACAGTCCCCACCTAACTGCCAGGGTCACCTTCTCAAAGAGTAGATCACTCAGGGACTGCGCGAACTCCCCATCCTCCATCAGCAGGAAGTGCCGCA